GAAACAGTGGACAGGAAGTAGAAACAGTGGACAGGAAGTAGAAACAGATACAGAATGACTGCTCCAGAATGGAGGCGAGCAGCTCCATCTCTAGGAGGAAGTAGAAAAACAAACAAACAAGAAAAAAACATGTTAAGATTGAAATAATTACAAATACAGACTATTCATTTCATGAAATGACATGAATTTGTCCTCCCATCAGTCTAAGCCTATAGAAGCAGAACTGATGGCTCAGGAAACCCAAGCCGACCCTAACTATAGGATTTATCAAACAGGAAAGTCTTCAAACTGGACAATGTGTCAGCCTCACGGACAGAAACTGGAAGTTGGTTCCACAAGAGAGGAGCCTGAGAACTGAAAGATCTTCCTCCATTCTGCTTTTGTAAACTCTAGGAACCACAAGTAAACCTGCAGTCTGAGAGTGAAGTGCTCTGTTAGGTAATATGGAACAATAAGATCTGTAATATAAGATGGAGCTAGGTTGTTGAGGGCTTTGTAGGTTAGAAGTAAGATTTTGAATTCAGTTCTGGATTTGACAGGGAGTCAATGGAGAGAAGCTAAAACTGGAGAGATATGATCTCTCCCAGTAACTCCAGTTAAGACTCTGGCAGCAGCATTTTGGATCAACTGAAGACGTTTTAAAGAAGTATTTGGACACCCAGATAATAAACCATTGCAATAGTCCAGTCTAGACGTGACAAATGCATGGACCAGTTTTTCTGCATCATCTTCAGATCAGATGTTTCTAATGTTAGTGATATTACGCAGGTGGAAGAAGGAGGTTCTAGTAACGTTTTTAATGTGGGGGATAAAAGACATGTCCTGATCAAAAATAACACCAAGATTTTTAACATTAGAGCTGGAGGACAGATTAATGCATCTAAGGAGGGAGAAAGACTGAAACATTCATTCCTAAGGTGCTCAGGTCCAAAAACTAAAACCTCAGTCTTGTCTGTTCAACAGGAGAAAATTAAGGGTCATCCAGGTTTTTATGTCTTTAAGACATGCTTGTAGTCTAAGTAGCTGATTGGATTCATTGGGTTTAATGGACAAATATAATTGTGTGTCATCAGCATAACAATGAAAATGTATCCCATGCTGTTTAATGACTTTACCTAATTGAAGCATATATAAAGTAAAGAGTATTGGTCCAAGCACTGAACCTTGAGGAACTCCATGACTAACTATGGATCAGTCAGAATGGAAATACTGTTCTAGCTGCATCAGCAACAGAAGAGGGTCCTGATTTTCGTGTCATTTCCTAATGTTTGTGCACCTCTTACTAAACTGCAGATTATGTTTGTGAAGGTGTCAGCTGTCCCCCCCCCCCCCCTGCCTGCAGACTCTCCTCTCTACAGTTCTGCAGTAAGCATGGTTCTCATTCAGTACCACCCGTCCTATTCTTCTTGTACCTAACCCCTAAATCTCCTAATTCAAATCGTTATTCGCCCAGTTGGTGGCCTTTCATCCCTGCTGCCTAAGGTCTCATGAAGCTGGTAGTCATTAAGAAACAGGATTGGAGTGGAGAGGTGGGGGGGTTGGAAGGCCCGAACTCTTCCTCCCACATATGCGGGGTCGTAAAATGCCTGAGGAGCCAGCGGGGTGGGGCTGCAGTTTTATCAGCCTCCTCGTCTTGAATGGCAGTCTTGTCAGACGTTGGACGAGAGTCAGCTCTGCCGGGTCGGGACAGACATGCAGACAGACAGTAATGAGTGCGGCGGACCACCCAGAGGTCTGCGGCTCTCTGAGATGCTAGCTGCAGTCTGATGTGCGCTTAGCTTCTAGCTTCTGCCTTGTTTTAGAAG